ATGTCCCTTCCTTCCACACATGCCGTTAGATAAAACTAGCCACGTGGTCCCAAATTAGGTGCAAAGGAGGCTGGGAAGTGGGAGGGAGGAGGATGCACACCAGGACCCACATTCCAGCCCTGGCTCTGCCACAAGAGACCCCAAAGGGAGCCCTGCAGGCAGAATCGCCCTGAATGACGGAGGAAACCAGGGTGGCCGAGAGCTGCTGGAGCCCAGCCACACCTGCATGGGGCCTCCCTCAGCCTCTGCTCCTCCTCGGAGCCTGCATTCCCCGGGTCTCCGCCACCGGGGTCCCCACCAGACCCCTCCTCCCAGAGCCTCTGCCTGTCCAGCACTGGCCCCGGTGCCTCAGACACTGGGAGGGCTTCCACCCCGCCCTGGCTGCCCTCGGAGCTGACCAGTGCCTCACTTGAAGCACAGTCTGTGCTGGCTGCTGCCACATCTGTCCTCCACACTGCTGATTTGGCTCCAGTGGAAGCCCTGTAACCAGCTGTGTGCCTTCAGGTTGAGGGAGACATGCCCTGGCCAGGTACTATGAGGGCCACTTGGGGCTCAGGCTGCAGCTCCAGGTGGGCCAGCCCCCCTCAAGGCCTTTTGGCCCCAACCCAGGGCTGCCCACACTACCATTTAGTGCTACGCGCCTGGTCTAATTCAGAGGAAGGCCAGTAGGCAGTCCCCTTGCATGCAAATCTTCCAGGACTGCACTGTCCAATATGGTACCACTAGCCACACTGGTGACTTAAACCCAAATGTAAATTAATTACAAAGATATTGAGTTATCCATTAGGATGGCTACTATAAAAAAAAGTGTTGGCGAGGATGTGGAGAAACTGGAACCCTCATGCAATGTTAGAGGGAGCTGCTGTGGAATACAGTACAGAGGTTCTTCAAAAAATTAAAAATATAACTACCATATGATCTTGCAATTTTACTTCTGGATATTTATCCAAAAGAATTAAAAGCCGGGACATGAACATATATTTGTACACCCATGTTCACAGCAGCATTACTCACAATAAACAAAAGGTGGAAGCAACTCAAATATCCACCCACCAATGAATGGATAAATAAAACATGGTCTAGCCATAAGTGGAATATTATTTGGCCTTGAAAAGGAAGGACATTTTGACACATGCCACAACATGGAGGAATCTTGAGGACATTATGCTCAGTGACATAAAGTAGCTACAAGAACACAAATACTATATGATTCCTCTTCTACGAGGTCCCTAAGGAGTCAAAATCAGAGAGACAGAAAACAGAAAGGTGGTTACCAGGGGCTGATTGGGGGCAACAACAGGGAGTTAGTGTTTACTGGGGTCAGTGTCAGTTTTGCAAGATGGAGACTTCCGGAGATGGATGGTGGGGATGGTTGCACGACAATATGAATATAGTTAATGCCACTGAACACTGTACTTACAAAAGTGGTGAAGATGGCAAATTTTATGTAATGTGTATTTTATCACGATTAAATTTTTTAAGATTAAAATTGTTTAAATTTTAGTGGAAAATATATAGCAAATTAAAAATTCAGTTCTTCAATCACACCAGCCACATTTCAAATGCTCAAGGGCCAGGGTGGCTTAGTGGCTGCCACACTGGACAGGGTATAATTAGTGCATTTCCAGCATCACAGAAAATTTTACTGGGCAGCATTGCTCTAGAAGGTCATTCTTTCTCACACATTCAAGCTTCCTCAAACCCTCTCGTCCCCAAAACCACCAAAGGGCTTCCTGTACCCCAGACCAGCCCCCAGGGGCTTGCTCCTGGGTGTGCACTGCACTGAGGACACAGAGCCTTAAAGGGTGTTAATTCCATAGCACATACACGCCAAGCAAGGCCCCTTGTTTGTCTGCACTGCCCTGTGCTCTTGCCAAGGGAAGTGGAGCTCATATTATATATAGGCAAGTAGAATCCTTCTCCCTGGGGGAGAACCTGCACTGTGCCTGGAACCAAACTGTGTGCAATAAAGGCTGCTGGAGGCCACAGGAAAACAATATGACCTGACTACCGTGCCCCTTCTCAGCACTTCTGATTTATCTCTGAAAATCCTTCTTTTGTTATGACAGAATTTGTTTCAATTTAAGAAACTTTGTATTTATTAAGAAATGGACCAAACTGTCACATTATCCAAAGTTGGAGGATCATTGGATCACAAGAGTATAAACGGAAAAACTGAAGTTAACTGGCAAAACCCAGAAAGAGTTCTAGACTTCCTTTCCTGGCTCATGCAACCCGAGGTGTGTGTCAGAGGGGCGCTCCACCCCAGGAAGAAGGCAGATTTGCTTTACCAGCCTCAGGAAGGGCTCACCAGGGATATTCCAACCTCAGAGTACTGGGCGTACTTCTCAAGAATAATTCTAGATGTGTTGGCTCTAAAATATTGCCTCTGCCACCAAAAAGCACATTTACCTCCAATATCTCATTTAATCCTCATGACAACCCCTGAGATGGAAATTATTCACCCATTTTATTTGAAATCTATTTTGCCTGATAGAAGTACTGTTCCTCCTCCATTTTTCTCCCTTTTATTTTATTTGTATGAAATACCATTTTTCCATTCCTTCACTTTCAGTCTATGTATGTCTTCAGGTCTGAAATTAGTCTCTTGGAGGCAGCATATAGATGGATATTGTTTCTTTATCCATTCTGCCACCCTGTGTCTTGTGGTTGGTGCACTTAGTTTATTTACATTTAAGGTAATTATTGATAGATATGTATGTACTTACTGCCATTTTATTGTTTTCTGGTTGTTTTTTAAGTTACTCTCTGTTCCTGTTTTCCCCTCTTACACTCTTTCTTTGTTATTTGATTATTTTCTTTAGTGTTACCCTTGGGTTTCTCTTTTCAAATTTTTTTGTGTATCTATTATAAGCTTCAGGTTTGTGGTTACCATTAGGTCACAGATCATTCCCTAAATGCAGAACAGTCTTATTGTTGATGGTCACTCAATTTCAAACACAACCTAAAAGTACTCTTTTTTAATTCTTCTTCCTCTTCCATGCTTTATATATAGGATGTCATAATCTCCATCTTTTGTATATCTCTTGACTGATTTTGTATATACTTGACTTTACTTCTTTTGTATTTATTTAACTTCATACTTGCTTAGTAATTAGTCTACTGACTTTACTGTAGGTTTATTTTTACTGATGAAAAATATTTAGGCTTAAGAACATTTCCATTTAAAGAAGTCGCTTTAACAAACAAAGAAGGTCAGTTTAGTGATAGTGAATTTTTTAACTTTCATTTATCTGGGAAAATTTTAATTTCTTTCTGTTCTGAATGATAATCTTGCTTGGTAGAGGATTCTTGGTTATAGGTTCTTCCCTTTCCATGCATTAAATTTATCATGCCACTTCCCTCTGGCCTGTAAAGTTCCTGCTGAGAAGCCTGCGGATAGCCTGGGGTTTTCCTTATAAGCATGTTTTGAAGGCAGAGTTGATATCTACCAGTCACCTAGCACTAATGTGAAGATTCCCTAAGGTGACACATGGTTGGTGTCTAAACACAGGCCTGGCCCAGAGCTGCTCAGTAAGAGCTAAAAATTGTAGCCATCATGGTTTTTTTATGATTATCATTGTTCCTATTGTTGTTACCACATTAAAGGCACTTTTCAAAAAATAAGATGTGATTGTTAACAACTCCCAAATAAAATACCCTCTGCAGACCTATCAGACTTCAGCCCCACTTTGCAGATGAGTGGATTATTCCAGCCGGTCAATGACTTGGTACCTAAGGTAGGTGGAGAGGAAGGTGGACAGGCAGGGGGCCTCTCCACCCAGTGATCAGCTCATTCACATCCACTGGACCCTGACCCTCCTTTTCATAGAGCCCTGGGGGAAGGGGTTGGCTTTTGCCCTGCGTGGGGCAACATCGTTCCCAGAGACTCAGCATGTGGCACAGAAAAGCAGAGCTGAGCACCAGGCCACCGGCACAGCTCCTGTCCCCCGACCTCTTGCCCCCAGCTGGCCTCTGGGACACTGATCACCGACAAGCTGAGTCGCACAGCCCTGCAGCTTTGTAACTCCCCATTTACAGGGCTTCCCTAGCCACCTCCAGTCCCCTGCAAGCCCCCTTTCCGTCCACTAATCGGCCCCCTCCCCACCAACACTCCACCCACAGCCTGCGGGGCATCCAGGCCATGCCCTGCTCCCACCCCACCCACCCAGTCCTCCCCAGTCCCTGGAGCCTGCGCTCTGGAGGCTGGACGCTCGCATAGCCCAGGCAGTGAGGATCTCGACAGGACCCAGGGCAGAGGCAGGACTGCGTCCTCCACACACACATGCTCAGCATCCTCCTGCCCCCTGGGGTGGGGGTGGGGGTGGAACATGGGGAGCCACCTCTTAATCCCTCGGTTTTGGGTAGACAAGGGGGCAGTTGCCCTGCGGTCCCCAGAAGGCTTAGGTGGCACACAGTCACTGCACTAAGTAGCCCAGCTTTCCGGAGAGAAACGGATTTTCTCCAGTTTCCACCCCTCTGGCTCCCTCAAGGAGAAGCCTTATGGGTGCCGTCCATCGGAATCCCTCTCTGACACACTTATCTCCCTTTTAAACACTGTGGGCTGTGGTTCCAACCGGCAGAAGGCAAGACAGTCTAGCTGGGGTTGAATAACATCCTCTGCATTTCACTTTCAGGTTACCTTTATGCATAGTGAGGTTTCCTTTGTAAATAGTTTTTAAAAAGTCAGTTGATATATATATAGGAAGATACATAGTCTGGGAACAATGGGGATAGGACAAAAATTAAGAAAACAGATGACTGGAGTGTGTGAAAAACTGCCTTACTGGTAAAGGGCCTTGCCAAGTCAGAATTTGCACATGAGGAAACTGAGGTTCAGTGAGGTAAGGGTCACCATTTCTCACCTGGGGGCTCAGGTGAGAGCCTCTGACCACCTCACTCACCTGCAGCTCCGCTGGGAAACCACAGAAAGCCCAGGTGCCCTGGTCCCTCTGCACCCCTCCTGGCCAGCCCCGCCCTCACAGCCCTACCCCACTTACGATGTTCATGAGTGTGAGCAGGTACTTCTGCACGTGCTCCTTCCCGTGGAACTGAACCACGGAGTCGTCCACACCCAGCAGGACCTCAATGTTGTAGTCGTCGTCGGCAGCGTGCCTGCGCACCCTGCGCCTCGAGCTGTTGACCCGCTCCTCCAGGATGCCCAGGGCACGGCTGAGGTTATCCAGGCTGCCGCGGGAGACCCCTGGAAGGTCAGAGGACACAGTCTGAAGCAACAGCCCAGCTCACCAGGGGTGTCTCAGCAGCACAGAACCCCACTTGGATGCAGTTCAGCACCTGCCAGGGGCCAGCTTGGCCATCATCTCATTGAAAACTCACAGCTGCCAAACTGAGGGCACTCTTGTGCCAGAAGAACAAACTGAGGTTCAAAGAGGGTAACAGTGACATGCCAAGTGGGCTCAGACCCAGCAGCCTGCAAGCCAACACCCTGGCCCTGGGAGAGCCCAGGTCGGCACCCAGCAATGAACTGAGGGCCGGGAAGCTGGGCTGCCCGGCCAAGAGTACATGCGGCCGGATCCAGCTCTTCTCACCCATTCACACACTTGAGAAGGGCAGTCCAGGTGCCAAAGGCTGTCTCCCAGGTGTGGCTACCTCTGTTATAAGGGAAACGGAGGTCCAGCCCGGGTGGTGTGTGTCACATCAGGCAGTTCCTCTTCCAGAACTTCCCTTCACTGAACAAGGCCCCTCATCTTCAGGCCAGGTCCGCCCACCCCATGCAGGACGGAGACTTCTCCAGGTGAACGAAACACTCAGCTTTCAATTATCATAATTTTAAAAATGTTTTTATTAAAGTAGAATATACATTCCACTAATCTACTTTTATAATCAATTGTTTAGTACCTTTATTCTATGATGTAAGGAAAATGTTTAAAATCTCTTCTGGAATTTATCCCAGAAAAAGATTTGTGTGCACAATTCACAGTACAGTTCTAGGGTGTTTACAGACCACTGAAGCCTACATGAAACACCTAGGGACCACATGGGCCAGAGGTTAAAGAAAACCAAAAAAACCAGCCCTCCTCTAAATTCTTTTTAGGATTTAAATTTAACTGCAACAATCCTGTTGCTCAGTTTTGTCCCTCCTTTCTTAATTTTCTGATATTACTATTGATACTATTGTTTTCCCTCTTGCTTTCTTGCATAGTCATGAATAAAAATGGGGGGGAGGCAGGGGAAGGTACTTCTAGCAACTAAACAGGCAGCTACTACTTATAAGGATGATAAACATATAAGTATATTCCAACAAAGTAATATTTAAGCAGGGACCAGGACCGCCCCCACTTGTGCCAGCTCCCCAAGCCCTGGGTTGAGAGTGGGGCCTGCAGGGCCTCAGCTGAAGGACCCAGGGACCTGGAACACCCCCAGAACAGAGCTCCAGCCCTAGCGCCTCCCTGCCCCACCTCTCAGGGTCGCAGCTGAGCTGACCTGGCTGACTTTCAGCATTGCCAGCAGCCCCAGACCACACTGCCTGCTCAGTCCCAGTGCCAAAATCTTCTGGAAGGCCCCCTTGCCCTTTCACTGGCCCCTGTGTCTGTGCCAGGTCCCTGATCCCAGGGTCCTGCCTCTCTTTGGCATTTCCTGGGTGTGTGCTGGGCTGGGCCCTCAGACTCCTGCCCTGGAAAGGCCCTGGGGCCTCAGGCCATCGTGACATTACCAACCCGGGGAGTGGTACCCAGGCCCTGTGGCCTCTGCAGCTGAAGGTGGGGCAAAGAGGCCAGCTCAGCTGTTGGTATCCCTGCAAAACCACCTCTCTGCAGAACCTTCCAGAACAATTCTTCTCACTTGTCCCAAAAGCCTCTGGTCTGCTGCCTCCTCCAGACAGGCACAGGAACTCCTGTCCTGTCAGTGGCGCACAACAGACCCTGGAGGCAGAAGAGGGCTTCTGCTTCTGAGAGCAGCTTGGAGCCCACAGACAGGCAGGGCGCTGCCACTAGGGTCCCGCCACACCTCCTCGTCCAGCACTCGCAGCAGGCCCCTCTGGGGTGCACTACTGTCCCCATTACAGTCAGGGAGACTCATGGGACCTTGGCACAGCTGACTCTCGGCAGGGCTCTCTGAGAGTGCAACCTGATCAAGGGACAGAGACCAAGAGGGAAAAGTGGAGGTAACTGACGTGACTGAGAAGCAGATGGGAGGGCTTTGACAGAAAGGAGGAGTAAGCCAGGCCAGGGCGGGAGGCTGTTCACATTCCTGTACCTCCTGGGGTCCTCGTGCCCCCCACCCAAGACCTGAAGTCCACTGTGCATGCCCCGACTCACCCCCCTCCGCCATCAGCAGGCACTGCCCAGGGCTGCTCTGGGGGACCAGGATGGGCAGAGGGCCTGCAGGCAGGGCCCATGCACAGCTGATCATCCTCGGGGCTGCCGGAGATGATTTGGGGCCCTCCCTGCTGCTCCCGGAGGAGATGCCAGCTGCTTAAACCTGACAGGGAGTTTGAGGAATTGCTACTCTATTTTTATACTTTATTTCTTCGTATTTCCAACAGCTAGAGACAACTCACCTTCAAAACCACCTTGGGAAGCAGAAAAATAGTAATTCCCATTAAAACACTCTTCCCTTTGGAAGAGGCTGCAAGTTCCCCTCTGCCCCTGTCACAGCCAGGGGTCACAGATGGGTGGTCCCTGGACAAATCCAGACCACAGAGGTGATTGTTAGGGCCCCATTGTGTTTTAAAAAATACTTCATTTGGTGGACAGTATTTCAAAATTGGGAGCTCTCTCATAAACAAAAGAATAGCCAGCTTCTCCTGAGGAATTAGGAGATGGGGTCATAGGCTGGGGGGAAGGTAAGCAGGCAACATTGGGCTGTAGAATGACAGCCAGTCCAGGAGACAGGTCACACGGGGCCCTGTCCCCAGGCCACCTGGCCTGCTGCCCTCACTGACCTTCTGGCCCCCTTGAAGGCATCAGCGTGTGCCCCTGACCTTAACACAGGAAGTCACCGTGAAGTGACTCCTCCCGACATTCCCTGGGGGAGAGCAAGGGGGCTGCCAGTTGGGTCACAGCTGGCTGGGGCACATCTTACAGCTGTTTCTGCCAAGCACAGTATTTAACTTCATGTAGGGTCCGTTAAAACAGCAACGCTTTCTAAAGATGCATTAGAAATGTCAATAGTAATTATTATTATTAATTACTATTTTAATCATGATTATTTTGGCAGGTGACTTGGATATTATGTTTTAGAATAGCCCTCCAAGGCCCAGCCCCTGTAGAGATGCCCCAAAGCCCCAGGTACAGACACGGAGAGGAAGACAGGGCCCCTTGGGGCAGCTGGCGGAACACAGGGAGCAGTAAAGAGGTCAGCAGGGCCTGCCGGGCCCCGAGGCTAGAAGACACATGAGCACTGATGGTAGCCAGCAGCCAGGCTGACATTCCACCTTGTCCATCTTAGATGTGTCCTCAGTTTCCCTATGAACGGCTTGACCCTGAAGCCCAGGCCATGCGGAGACCCCAACCACACCCTGTTTCCAGCAGGCCTGTCCCTCAAGCAGAGGTCTGCTGCAGGGGAGCTCTGGCCGGCAGCAGGCTCCACCTGGTTTTGGGTCTGCTGCTTAATGATGCCCTGACACCAGCCTGGGCCTTCAGGGCCCATCCATAGGCACTGGGTTGTGCCCCCTCAACTCCCGGTCTAAAGGCCTCTGCTCGTCTCAGTCCCCTGGGGCCACTTTCCTCCCTCCCCCGGAGCTCCTGCTCCAGCCCACCTGCTAAGGCGCGGTGACATGGAGCTCACCCGGCCCTTTGCTCCATCCCTCAGCATGGGCCCAGGCCTGGATAACAAGCTGTCAGCGCTGCCCTGCCCCTGGCTCCTGAAGCCTTCTGGACACAGCCTCTCCACAGAGAGGGCGCTGGTCCCCCAGGGGGGCGGATCCATGGCAGACGGGAGAAGATGAGACCCCAGCAGGCCGAGACAACCCCGATTAGCAGCGTGGATGGCAGGACCCTGTCCTCAGGCATTGAGATCCTGGCATGCCCTGGGTTGGGGGGACCCTTCTGGAAGACAGCTGGGGCTCTTTTTGGTCACGACTTAGACAAAAGATGACACACAGCTGGAAGCCTCCAAGAGCTGTCTCTAGCATTAGGGTCTCCAGAGGGGACTAGAAAGGATCCCTCAGTCAATTAGCAGACTAGGGAGAAGACGGGAGGAATAACAGGAAGCAGAATTACATTCAGAGAATCCCAAAGCACCTGCTCACCAGAGGAGCAGGCGGGTCACAGCGGCCAAATGCATCCACAGCCCCTGGAGCTCAGGTGCTGCCACATCTGGGGGCAGGGCGCATGCAGAGCCCTCCACAGTGACAAGCCTCTGCCACGCCCAGCTGCCATCTCATCCCAAAGTGACGAGGTAGCTCCTCACCACATCACTGTTCCATTTTAGGATCAAGGAACCCTGGGAGCAGGAAGATTAAGTGACGCGGACAAGCCATACAGCAAAGGCGGAGCCAGGACCCAGCCCAGGCCCCGGCCCGGGACCCACAAGTTAACATGCCCTGGAGCCGTCTCCATACTTCACCTGCACCTGGGGGTGGTTTGGAGAAACCAACAGTGGCAGAAACATGTGTGTTTAGCCTGGAGAGGAGAAATCCTGGGCCCCTGAGTCTTCATCCTGTGGCAGGTGCTGGCTCTTCAGGTTTAAGGGCATCTGGGTGTTTGCTGTCCCCGTGAAATCCCAAGTCCTTTGCTGTGCTGGCCTCTTCACCTGGGACACCCTTTCTGCTGCTGCTTCTGCCCAGATTTAGACCCCCACCAACCGCCGCCAGGCTCAGAAGGAGCTCCCCAAAAGGCCCAAAGGGAAGGGGGCCCACAGCCCGTGGTGCCTATGCCCTGCTGTGTCCCGCACTGGACTCAGGGATGAATTTGGTCCCCATCTGCCTCCACACATAGCTGGCAGCCGCCTGCAGCGGAAGGGCGCATCGAGCCCTGAGAAGCCACCGCTTGAGCCTTGAGGCTGCCGCCCCTTCTCTACGGAGTGGCCATCCCCTCATCCTCACTGCACCTGTTCCCTCTCATCTTTCAGTGTCACCTGCAATGTCACCTCTTCAGGGGAGCTTGCCTTATTCCATCCTAAATTAAAATAGGCTCTTGCCTCACCCAGTGACTCCCTGGAAGCATTCTGTTTTCTGCCTTCCTGAACCCACCCCGCTTGTGATTTAATCTCATTTGTGAATTATCCGGGCCACTAACGATT